TTAACAATATGAAATAAGCGATTAAACTATGCTATAAACACAACCACCAGATGCTTTACCTTTTTATACATACACGTATACAGGTAATCCTTGACTTATAACAGTTCGTTTGTGAGTTCAGAGGTTACAACAGCAATGAAAAAATTTGAGTGACTGTTTTTCATATTTACAACCATTGTAGTATCCCTGTAGTCATGTGATCGAAATCCAGATTCATGTTTACAACTGTTGTGGTCCTGGGGTCATGTGATCATCTTTTGTGACCTTTGATAAGCCAAGTCAATGAGGAAGCCAGATTCGCTTAACAACCGGGTTACTAACTTGACAACTGCAGTGATTCACTTAATAACTGGGGCAAGAAAGGTTGCAAAATGAGGTAAAACTCACTTAATTGTTTTGCTTAGCCATAGAAATGTTGGGCTCAATTGTGATTGTAATTCAAGGACTACTTGTATATGTATATGCTACAAATACACGAGGTGAAGAGTTTTTGAAAAATTAAAATTCCATGTTATCTATCAAAGTAAATGTATTATAGAATCTCTTTCATAATTAGGAGCATTTCTTTGAACATGTAAATATTATCTTACTTTTGCATTTTGATGCTAAAATGTCAGGACTAGTTTGCTATTACTAATAAGATGTGCTAATTATATTCAAATTCACAGCGGATTCAGCAGGATTGGTGATTTTGCCATTGATCTACTCTCTTTCAGGAACTCCCCCATCAAATATCACTATTTCAGATATAATCTCTACATCTTGCACTCCCAAACATGTTCAACTTTTTGGAAGGAGTGCTCCAAAAATAGCTTCAGTGGAAAAAGAGGGATGAGGTGTCAAGACTCATGATTTATAATCTCATAATGTTCCAATGACAGAAGAAGGAGCTGTACTTGCAGTACAAAATTATTACCATCTTGGAAATTTATTATTTTTTACTTTTGATTTTTCTTAAGGGGGAAAAAAACCACTCAAAGAAAATGTTCTGACTTTTAAAAAGTAAAAGGGTATGAGAAACAAGTGCCTACAGAGAACATTGTTTTATTTTGAAGATTTAAATTTGTTTTTAACTTTTTGAGGTTTTTATTCTGGAAAGTATAGATATTAATTTAAGATGAAATCTTAGGTAAAAATCCAGTAAGCTCCATAGACACTTACAGGACTGAATTTAGGTATAGGAATAAACTTTACTGACAGTGGTAAAGAAATAACAAAACAGAGGCTTTTAAAGTTTTTAATGAATTACTTACAACCAAACATTTGTATGAATACATTCATATAAATCTGCTATCAGAAGAACTATTTTTAAGATTAGAACTTTTCTTACCTTTATTATCTTGACCTTTCGCTCTCTGTCATGCCATAGCACAGGGTACAATAAAAGAGACAAAACAAAGATTTGTCATTTGTTGAGAACTCAGAATAAAGCAAATTACCATCTATTGAAAATGTACAACAGTGATACAATAGTGTATTATATATTCAAGACAGATGAGTCTGTTTAGATATTTAAAACTAGGTAATTCCCAACCACAAGATTTTCTCTGGCTTCATATTTATATTCTACAAGTGTTATGTCTTTCATTAAATATAACATGATTTTGAAATTATTTGCATTTATTAAATCCGTTTACAAATTGTTAATAGGGTATGGGGCCTTTCAGGAGATTGGAAACAAACAATAGCCACATGATAATAATACAATGTAATGTGAGTATTGAGGACTTCGTATTTTTGTCAAAGAGGAAATAAATCGGATGGAGAATAAGAAATTCAGAATTAGAGTACAGAAAATATTGATATGTAGTATATTTTAAATCTGAAATGCCTCCCAAATCTGTTTTGCATCTGAAGTGGGCATTGCCTACCACTCTGAACTGTTATGTGCACTAAATATTCTTTTTCAACAGTTGTTTTAACCATGAAAGACTTCCTAAAGGGTTTGAATTCAAAACTTTTCACAATCCCTTAATATGTATTTTATGTTATTAGATAAAAACATTTAAAATAAAAAAGAATGGCTTCCCTGGAGGACCTAGAAAAGGCAGCAAACACTCCAAACATTATCCAATGTGCAAGAAGTTGAATTTCAACAGGAATATGCACATAGACAAATGTATTTGTTCTCCCAGTATATAAAGAGAAAGGGGGGAGGGAATAAAAATATCAAGAAAAAAGTCCTAGGAATTTTCTCTTTTGACACAATGAAAGGGCAGCATGTAAAGAACCAAGAGATGATTGAGAAACAAGCTTAAGTACCACCTATATCGCCTTAGGCAAGTCATGATGTCTGAGACTCAGATCCCTTAACACAGCTGTGTTGGCTGGGAGATTCTGGGAGTTGAAGTCCATAGGACTTAAAGTCGCCAAGGTTGAGAAACACTGCCTTAACATGTGAATTATACTATTCATTTTACAGCACCAGTAAATTTACAAGAAATAATATTGAACTATTTAAATACCACAAAGCAATTATAAGGGCAAAGATATACTTTTGCAGTCATGAGCAATAGTGCTTTGAGAAGTTTTCATTTAAAAAAAAAATTCTTGGGATACAAAATTAGATGGGAATATTTATTCCCATCTAAAAGCCAAACTCCTAGAATGAGACTGATCTTTAAAACTGAAAGTGGAAGGGCCTGTGTCTATGAAGACTGAAACAGCTGACATAAAAAGGGACATTATAGAAAAATTATTAAAACTTCTGCATAAGGTTTGACCCTCAAAACAAAAACACAAAGGAGTTCACTGACATCAAGTACAATAAAGAAAATAAAAGTAGGGCCTAGAAGAGAAACAGGAAGCTTGAAGCTGGCAAGAACATTCCTGCGGAAATAGTAGCTTAAAACTGCTCAGGATACAGAAACTTAATATCCAGGGGGATCTGGTCTTCAGCAACTATCTAAAAATGGCTTTGGGTGGCTTGCTCTGACCTAACCCAAGAGTCCAAATTCAGATCCGCCATTCAAGGTGCTATTGAAAGATGTGCCCGATCAGGGTTTCTACTCAGGACGAGGATCATCCCCTCTTTTTATATTCTGACATTAAGCGGGCACTCAAAGCCACCAGGGCCCAGTCCTCCAAAGTAGTCTCTATAGCAGTCCTTAAAGGGATGGGGGGAGCCAAGCAGCCCAAAATCAAACGTAGGAATGGGTAATCTTTTAAGAGCCAAGGAGGCTCATATTTTAACAAAGGCCTGAAGGAAGAGAGGGAGAGAAGGAGGGAACGAAGAGGTAGAGAAGGAAGGGAGAGAGGGGAAAGGAAGGGAGAGAAGGAGAGAGAAGGAGGGAACGAAGAGGTAGAGAGGGAGGGAGGGAGAGAAGGGAGGGAGAGAGAGGAAAGGAAGGGAGAGAAGGAAAGAAGGAAGGGAGAGGAAGGAANACCCAACCACTATCTCGCTTAGCAACATCAATTTTGGCCTCAACTCTGATTGTAAGTCAAGGAGTACCTGCAGTTTGCCTTTGCTTTTTATCTAGATTTGCCAGTCAAAATACATCTCCAACTTTCCGGTTAATGTCCTATTCAAATAGGAAGCTAAGCCATATTTGATTAGATCTATCTGGGCAACATGTAGACCAAAGAGCTCTTAAAACCATAAGCCTGACACCAGTGGAAAACCTGCAGCTGAGATACAATGTAGTGCAGTAGGACCACGCATTGTAACTGATTAAAAAAAATTAATTCTGCAAGCCTAATAGGCACCTAAATGTGGCTGTTTAATATAAATATACAGAAACATTCCCCGGATGTCTCATTTTTAACAATGAACTCAATGTTACAGTAACTCTAGTTTACTTACACTTCTGACTTTTGTGCTTGTTTTACCCTCCATTTTTATTTTATGCCATGTTCCTGAGAAAACTCGTGAGATCTACCATACTGTGGATTTGCAATTTTTTAAAAAAATAAGGATAAAATTCTTACGTCGCAGCATTTTGGAGAAACTGAACAGTCTATGCTTCTATTTTGTGCTATGGCTTAGTTGTTAATGCCCTCAAGAGATATTTGATAAATCTCATTTACAGGTGAATTTTGTAGCCTTTATAGTCCTTTCCTTTTAAAACCTTATGGTTCATTTGGTTTTGGTTAAATCTATCATTGCCATAATGCTTGAGGATGTACTATCATACTGTATTAATAATGTCACAATCACATCAATTTTACACATATGAAAATAGCTCCTGTAATTGAGAAGTACACTAATATATATTTTTTTCTCAAATACGAGTGTCGTACAAAATTTCAAATTCAAAATACTTCACTGTCAAGGTTGAATCAATTGTTCTGTGTTTGAAACAGGCTTGCTCAATAATTCTGAAAGCATAATGAGCTTGAAACACCTCAGAAAAAAAAAAGGTTGAAACAGACCACTTTGAACAGCGAATAATTGCTTTTAGACAAAATGTGGCATTCTGGATTTGTAAGCTTTTGCATGCCTGAGCTAAGGAGACACCAACATCCAATTTGTGTAAAAAGGCTTTCATTTCCACATGGATACTTTTTAAGCCCTTCCTTCAATTAACAACCGGAATAAGGAACAAAAAAACCCCCTGCCAATCGTAGGCTTCTTTCGTAGACATCTCTTTAAAGCAGAAACACATCTTGCTCGTGCATGGGCGAGCGATTTATATTTCACTTACAGGTAGTCCTTGACTTATAACCGTTCATTTAGTGACTGTTCNCCCCCTCCACCCCTCACCCCCCTGCCTGGTATTAACCATGTATACAAAGAATGAAAAGGTTTAAAAACAAATTCTTTCTGAAAGGTTTTCCTGCAAGTTTTGGAGAGGACGATTGTCTCCTAATATACCCCACCCAGAAAACTGATTTTTAGGCTTGAAGCGGATTTTTAAGGCTTGGTTTTTAAAAGCTTCTCTTTTTCTTCCTTCCCTCTCCAGGCCCAAGAAGAACTGGACAGAAAGACTGCCATTGTCCCCAACCCTAACAAATTGGCACGCTCTAGAAAACCCAGCATCCTTTTTGCATCTGCTGTTCAGGAGTCCCATTGGCCTCTGAGTTCAGAGTTTTCCAGAATTTACAGTGGGTAGAGTCAGAGAGGGTTTAGAAATGCAGGCTGCTCCGGTGTCAAAACATTTCGTCGCATCGGGCGTCCAGCTCGTTACGAATGTTTTGACTAGTCTCCTGTCCAGCAGCTGGGAAATGGGAGATAGCTTTTCTCCAGAGGGAAGCCAGGATGAAGGAAGCAGCTCATCTTCAGAGGACACTCAGTGGACCCCTTTGCATTGGTCGAGATCCAGCATGCAGTCAGAGATTAAGCGTCTTCAGACATTTCAGCTCTGGCCAGCGAGCGTCCCTGTGGCTCCGACTGATTTGGCAGCCGCTGGTTTTTATTTTGTCGGCCCTGCGGACACCGTCCAGTGTTTCTGCTGTGGTGGGTTGTTGTACAATTGGGTAGCTGAAGAGGATCCTATGGTAGAGCACAAGAAATTCTTCCCATCATGTCTGTATGTCCAGAACAAAATTGTAGGAAATATCCAACAGATGCCTTGGAGCGAAGAACACCAAGACTGTGTAGATGGGCAATTTCTTGGCATGCTACAAAGTTTAAATGTGGAGGAGAGCCCTGTAGGTGGTCAGCCAGAATACCCATATATGGAGACAGAAGGAGATCGGTTGGTCTCGTTTGAGAATTGGCCCTCTTATTCTCCAGTGTCTCCCCGGTTGTTGGCCAGAGCAGGCTTCTTCTATACAGGTATGTAGAGAACTGCTTTTGATGGGTATGACCCAGGTTCCATCTATGTTAATGCGTGGCACGACAAAACCGCGGTCCACTAAAGCGNAAAGGGAAGGAATTAGAGAAGGGCAGCTGGAAAGGAGGAGGAAAAATAAAGGAGGAATGCGGCCTGGTCTTCCTTCCCCACCCCCCCTCCCATCGACTTACCTGGGGGTCAACGCTAGTGGCAGACATCTCTCATGCGCCCTGAAATAAAGGGGAAGGGGAGCTGGGAGGGGGAAAGGGAAGAGGAGTGGAGGGGCGGGGCCAGGCCAGGCACGAGCGCGCGCGCTCTCTCTCTTTCCCTCCCTCCTTCCCCTCTTCCCCCCTCCCCGAGAAGGGGGCCTATGCGCACGCGCGGGGGTGCGTGGGAAGGCGGGGGGAGTGAGGAAAGGGGAGCGGGAGCGTTAGGTCAAGGGAAAGGAGGGAGGGGGGGAAAGAGGGCCGCGCGCGCGCGCGCTGGCTCGTCGGTGCGCGCGCTCGTTTCTTCCCTCACATCCTTCGCCTCCACACACAAGACACGAGATGAGGGGGACGGGGTGGGGGGAAGGGGGAAAAAAGGCCAGCTGCTGTTGCTGCTGCGCGCTCGCCGGTCCTTCCTCTCGCTTTCCCCGTTTCTTAGCCTCCAAACTTCTGGATCCTTGCCTTTCCTTGGGGGAAAAAAAAAAGAAAAACACGGAGAGGCCGGAAGGCAAAAGGAGACTCCCCCAGGCAGCCGAAGGAGCCTTCGAACTCCAATGGCGGCGAAGACCGGGCTCCGGTGACGTCAACGCCTCGGCTGCGCGGAGCATGCCGGGAAGGGGAGAAAGGAGAGAAAAAAAGCAAAGGGCCACCGCGCGCTCGCCGACGAAGAGTGGAGGGGGGAGGAGAGAGGAAGGCATCACCTACTGGGCATGCGTAGGAGCGAGACGGCCGTTAGGCCGAGAGGTATTTGTAACGCAAGCCCTCCCAGATTTTAAGTTCCCGCCCAATCCTCCGTGGAGGTCGGGTGATTGGCAAGGCCGGCGGGTGGGCTCAAGAAAGAGTCGGAGCCAATCGGAATGACAAAAAAAGCTGAGGGGGGGGGATATCATGGCCGATCTCTGTCTCCCAAAATAACACTCACACACACACCCATGTCTAACCCCCACACTCTTTTTAAGGATGGGCGTGGGGAAATAGCTTCTTCCCCACATGAGGCTGCTTCCTTTTTGATATCGCTTGGCAGGTAGAAGTTCAACAGGTGTGCCCTGGCAATGTGGCCGAATGCTACCTGTTGAACTTTGGTTCCTCAGTAGTCCCGAGGAGCGGAAAAAAGGTTGCCCTTTTCTGGCCTTATTAAAGAGAACCAGCCGATGGTTGAGTTCACACAAAGATGTAACTTGTATAACTAGATTTTTGGGATGAGGAAAAGTAAAGTCTTACACTTAGGTAAGAAAACCCAAAAGTACACATATAGACTGGGCGAAACCAGGCTTAATAGCAGTAACTGTGAGAGGAATTTTGGAGTCTTAGTGGGCAACCAACTAAATATGAACCAGCAGCATGCAGCCAAAAAAGCCAACACAATCCTAAATTAACAGGGAGATACAATCAAGATCAAGTGAGGTACTAATACTACTCTGCAAAGCCCTAGTAAGACCACACCTAGGATACTTCGTCCAGTTTTGATCGCCACACTATAAAAAAAAGATGTGGAGACTCTAGAAAAAGTGCAGAGAAGAGCAACCAGGATGATTTGGGAACTGGAGGCTAAAACATAGGAAGAACGTTTGCAAGAACTGGGCTAATGGTGGGTTGCAGGCAGTACACCTCGATACAGGCGTACTGGTGCCTACTGGGAGCACTGGGTACCATTTCGGTATGGTGCTCCGGAGGGCCCACCCGCACGCACACCCTTCTTACCTGTATTTGAGCTCTTCTGCACATGCGCACAGAGTACGTCGCCTGCGTGATGCTCCACCAAGCAGCTGGAGCGTTGCAGGAGGTTAAAAACGTGCCCACGTGCGGTTGCAACGGGATCCGGAACCCACCACTGAACTGGGCATGGCTAGTCTAGTGAAGAGAAGGACCAGGGGAGACATGATAGCAGTCTTCCAATACTTGAGGGGCTGCCATAGAGAGGAAGGGATCAAGCTATTTCCCAAAGCACCGGAAGGCCAGGCAAGGAACAATGGGTAGAAACTGACCAAGGAGAGATTCAACCTGGAAATGAGAAATTTTGTGACACTGAGATCGATCAACCAATGGAACAACTTGCCCTCGGAGGTTGTGGGAGCTTCATCACTTGAGGCTTTCAAGAAGAGGCTGGACTGTCATATGTCGGAAATGGTGTAAGCAGAGTCTCCTGCTTGAGGGGAGGTTGCACTAGATAACCTATGTGGGAAGTTATCACCCAGCCCTCTCCCAGAAAAATGAAATATCCTAGGAAATATTGAAAAGGCAGAATATTTCACTGGATGTGAAAAGAAAGAAACATGTTTTAAAAGACAGAATAGCTGCCTGTAGCTTCCTGCCCATCGCCACTTTGTCGATGGGCCATTAAGAAGGCCAAGCTGGTTCACTTTACTTAATAAAGACTTTGCCACTTCAGCTCCAGGGGGATGGGATTAAAGCATGATAATATTGGCCCCAGCTCCCCACATGGCAT